GGAAACCGAAAGAAAAGAAAAGAACGAGCATGCCGGTTTCCTGCCGCAGTTTCATGGGACCCTTATCTCCGGGTCAACACTGTTCACACTCTTATCTCCAGAAGAATGTTTGATTTCCATATCATTGCAGTGACGCTGCCAAGGGATTTTTCTTTCGAAATGGAGGATGACCCTCGACCTCTGCATCTGACGCTGCCAGGGGATAGGATAGGAAATAGTGTTAACTACTGACATGGTGATGATGATGATGACATCGCTAGTCTGTTAATACTTTAAAAAGGTAGCGATCGACTACACAAAAGTATGTAGCTACCGACACAAAAAAGGAAGTAGCTACAAATAAATACCCATTTTACCTAACATACATACCTGTTTGTTTTGCAAGCATATCAGGCATAACCCTAGCCATGTTAATTGGATGCAAACTTTTGGCTGGTCATAAATTGAAAGGGTAAGCTGAAGAAAACATAAACTCCGGTCAAAGCTTTAAAACTGACATGACAAACTTTCGCCCTCAATGGGATGGTATAAAACAACCCTTGCAGTAAAAGGTCACAAAATCGTGTCCAAAGTTCATTTCATTGAAGAACTAGCCATCTTGAGTTCTCGCATCCTCAATTATTTTTCAAGTGGAACTGAGATTTCATATGTAAGATATCACAAGTAAAAAAACAAACATTGCTTGGATGGTTCAGATGGAAGTCGTGGCCCAAGACGATCACATCGCACTTTGATGCTCTGTGTCTCATTTAAGCGGTTTATTATTTTTATCAGAAGACAATGTCCCTGTAAAATTGTCTATGATGGTTCTTTTTCAATCTTGAAACACTTTGACTTGAGTGTTTAGTACGCATTCTGTGTGTGTGAGCACTATAGTAAGCGCTTCCACACAAAAAATGTCACATGCAAGTAGATGAATTACTTCATTAATGTTTGACACATTTTATGATCTTCACTGGATCATGAGAATGTTTACAAAAAAGTACTACAAACCAAGACTTGCAGTTATTTTTGTTGTTGTTGAATATCCTTTAAATTAAAGAAGCATTCCATGCATGATTACAGACAAGGAGAAAGTGTGTTATGAAGAAGATACATACTTAGAAAAATAAAAGTCATTAGGTGGATGATATTGCATTCTTTAGCTAGCCGTCTGATCTTTCCTAGTAGTTCTTTTAGCTGTTGTTGATCTGCCTCGGCAGTAGACCTTAAACTAAGTTAAGCTAGGGTGCGTACTGAAAGTAATACAACTTGATTATTGTTGACAGCGTGACGTCATTGCTAAAGCAACCAATCAATAATATCTCAATTAGGCCAAACTAATTGTTGTCTATTTTTTAATACAAGTGGTCGTCCTTTCATGGATCTATGATTGGTCAGTAGAGCATCCAAGCCAAGTGGCTAGCAAATTCATGAATCACGAAAAGTTGAGCGATTCAGGCCCCCAAATTGTGTGGAGTGAGTACTTGATACTAGAAGATGCTAGAGCTAGAGGGATGTTCATTTGCAGGTTGCAGCCACGATAACATTGCATTTTTAGAGAGAGAATAATAAGATCCTTGAGGCTGGCATCCCATAAGATACATACTGGGAGAACCCCGTCTCCTCAAAGCTTAGGCGCTTTTGGCCGTTGGATCGGGTTCTTGATGTGTTTTCGCCTGTCGGATCCTTCTCCCGAATGCCCACGTCCGTCTGATCAAAACAATCGACTGTAGATCGAAACAATTTCGAGAGGCTCATGCCATCGCCTGTAAATTCGGTGCCCCGCCGAGGGCATTATTGAGATTTCGCATGGTTGGAAAGTGCCTAGTAGCGATAGGTTGAGCACGTGGCCGTTCCCCTCCCCCACGCGCCCATTGTGTACTGAATCCGGCATTATAAGCTCGCGGCGGGGATTTTCATTGACTCACAAAGCCGGCTACAGCGGTGGCGCGTTCTCGGTTTCTGAGATTGCGGAGGCCCATGTCTTCTTCTGGTGGCTGTTTCAGTGGCGGTGGTGGGTAGCATGCATTGGTTGGTTTGTAGAAAAGCTCTCCAAGGACCGGATTGTATTTTATTCTTTTAATGGGACTTTTTAGTTGTATTGAGACACATGTACTCTCGCGGGTTCTCTCGTCGTTTATGCATGTATGCCACGTTTGGCCTCGTTGGTTCTAAGCAACATGCAATAAACTTCTCAAAAAAAAAACATTAGCAACTTGCAAGCTGGGAGTCACGGGATGCAGCTCTCTCGGTGTCCATGTGAAGATCGATCGGGACGGGTGCCTTGCATCGCATGCACTTGGGTGGAGCTAGCATTGTGGCATTGGGGTCAGATGACCCCAATAGATTTGTGAAAAATTGTACTAGGTAGTATTAGATTGATGGTAACCAAAGTGTATTTAAGGTTGCTCACATGCAATATGTGAAGATGACCCCATTGAAAAATTTAGCTGGCTTCGCGCACTTGGTCACCTGGCCACTTGGCCATGTTTAATAAGTCCTGCCAAGCTGATCCAGTTCCGACCTTGCAATCCTTTTTAAAATTGTGTAAGCTGCACCAATGGCTAAGTGCAAGAGGCATATACCATTGCGTTGTGGTTATCCTTCGACTGAGAAACCAAGATATCTACGAAGGTGACCAAGAGCGGTTTCCTGCCACGGTTTCACAGGTCTCACATCTTCGGGTCGACAGTATTCATGGTAATATGTTTTAGCTCTCGGTCGACTATCTTAGTAGTGAATGTTTGATTGGTATCGCCGCAACACAAAATAGGGTAGGAAACATGACTAACTAACGAATGCTCTCGTTGATAGCCGGTATGTAAATACTTAAAAGGCTAACTATTGTTTACACGAAAGTAAGTAACTAGAAATAAACACCCATTTTACAAATATTTTCTACCACCCAGGGGTAGTTACCCTCATGTGAGCTTTATATGTTGTACTCCCTCCGTTCCTAAAGACTTATATTTAGGAATGGAGGGAGTATATAGTATCTGTCCAAACCGAGAGTATGTATGTATAGTATGTAGTATATAAGAATATTCGGGTACTATATATCCTACTTTTTAGGTAGTATGTATTATTTCTTAATATATTATTTTATACGTATGAATATAAAGGTATTTTTAAAATATACAAAAAACTATGGAATTTTTTCGTATAGCTTGCTTTGAAATATCTCTGATATAGTATATGAACATACTTAGAATGATAAAGTAGTATATATACTATCACATGATAATATATGAGACATGAGGCCATGTTAATTGGATGGCAAAGTTTTGGTTGGCTCAAAACTTATAAGGGGAAGCTAAAGAAAACATAAACTCAATCCAGAATTTGATGAAAGCTTTTAAAACTAACATGCCAAACTTTCACTCTCATTGCCATGATATAAAAACAACCCTTGTAGTAAAGGGGTACAAAATCGTTTCGTAAGTTGATTTCATTGGAGAACTAGCCAGCTTGAGTCCTCAATATTTTTTCAAGTGGAAGTGGAATTTCATATGTTATACATCACAGGTACAGAACCAGCCATTGCTTGGATGGTTAGGAGGGCAGTTATAGCCCCAAGACAATTACATTCCGTGATCAATGCTCTTTATCTCATTTAAATTGTTTATTATTTTTTTCGGGAGACAATGTCCCTGTTAATGATGAGGTGTCTATGATGTTTTTTTTCATTTGCGAAACTCTGTAATTCCTGTGTTCAGTCGCTTGTGTATATGTGCACACTATAGTCAGCGTTTCTAGAAAATCACATGCAAGTAAATGATTAATTTATTGACATTTGAAACATTTTACGCATGAGATCAATCTTAACCGGATCAAGAGAATGTTTATAGATAGCAAAAACCAAGAGTTAGGTCATGTTGTTGTTGTTGTTGTTGTCGTCGTCGTCGTCGTCGTCGAAAATCCTTTGAATTAAAGAAGCATCCCCTGCATGGTTAGGGACAAGGAGAGAGTGTGTGTTATGAAGGAGATGCATGATTCTTCTTTTTGCCAAAGGAGATGCATGCTTAGACAAATTGAAGTCACTAAGTGCGATTTCAAAAAAAAATCACTAGGTGGATAATATTGCATTCTTTAGCCAGCTGACTCATCTTTCCTAGTAGTTCTTTTAGCTGTTGGGACTTTAAACTAAGTTTTCCTACCGTGCCTACTGAAAGTAATAGTCCCTTTGTTTCAAAATAAGTGTCGTTGATTTAGTAGAACTTTGATTTTGAGATGGAGGGAGTACTTGATTACTGTTGTTTCAGATGATGCGACATCACTGCTCAAGTAATCGGTCAATGATATCAATTAGGCCCAACTAATTGTTGTCAAAAGTTTTTGTAATACAAGTGGTTGTCCTTTCATGGATATCTAAGCTCTGTCACTAGAGCATCCAAGCCAAGTGGCTAGCAAGTTTATGAATCAGAAAAAGTTGAGCGATTCATGCGCCAAAATGCGTGGAGTGAGTACTTGGTACTCTGAGATGATAGAGCTAGAGGGTTGTTGATTTGCGGGATGCACCACCATAACACCTGTTTTTTATAGAGAGACTAATAAGAACCTTGAGGCTAGCATTGTGTATGGTGTGGGTAGATCTTAGTGAACTGAGACTTAACTAAGTCTATATTAAGTGACATAACATGAAAAAAACTAAAAGAAAATTGCACGAATCTTCATATAAGATCTCATGAATACAACATCGACCGAGACTTTAGCCGACTGAGATTTAATGATCTAGATTGTATAGGATCCCGCAAGACAAAGTGCATGTCCTGCCATGTGGCCCCTTGCCGGTTGCCACGTACATCTGCCATGTCATCCGGAGCCGACCGTTGTGTTCCTGCCACCTGGCATCATGTGATGCCTTGCCACCTCAGTTGTCGAGTCGTCCGATGTACCTGTTCCGTGCCAACCACACGATACGACCGTCAGCTAGCTTGTGTTATAAGTAGGTGCATTTCCCTCTCTCTGTGACCTACACAAGACCTGAAAGAAAAAGCGCGAGACAGAAGGAGAAAACAATGTGCGGCGGCGCCATCCTAGCGGAGCTGATCCCGCCGTCGGCGGGCCGTGCCTCGAAGCAGGTGGCCGCGGGCCGGGCCTCGCCAAAGAAGGCCGGCAAGAGCAAGGGGCATAGGTACGGCAGCGTCGCCGATGTCGACGACTTCGAGGCCGCCTTCGAGAACTTCGACGACGACCTCGACCTGCAGGCGGAGGAGGACGGCGACGAACATGTCGTTTTTGCATCCAAGCCTGCGTTCTCTCCGGGCCTGGGTAGGGTATCTCTCGTGGTTTCATCGAGTGTGGGTACAGTCTTTACGTACTTACCTAGATTCCTTTGCAGCCTACGATGATGGCCGCGCGGCGCAGGCGGCGAGCAAGAAGAAGAGCGTCCGCCCCCTCCACGGCATCCGGCAGCGGCCGTGGGGTAAGTGGGCGGCGGAGATCCGCGACCCGCACAAGGGCACCCGCGTCTGGCTCGGCACCTTCGACACGGCCGACGATGCCGCCCGGGCCTACGACGTCGCCGCCCGACGCCTCCGCGGCAGCAAGGCCAAGGTCAACTTCCCCGACGCGGCCAGGGCCGGGGCGCGCCCGCGCCGCGCCAGCCGCAGAACTGCGCAGAAACCGCAGCGCCCGCCTGCGCGGACGACGGCGTACTCTGCCACCGCAGCACCACGCGCACGGCCGGAGCAGGACGCTATGATGGTCAAGCCCGAGCGGATGGAGTTTTCCGACGTGGACGCGTTCGTCGACCTCACCGCCGCCGTCGCCGTGCTACCGCCTGTCACGGCGAGCTCCTTCGCCGACAAGATGCCGAGGGTCGACGAGGACTCGTCGGAGGGGAGCGGCGGCGGCTCCATGTTGGGGTTCGCCGACGACCTTGGGTTCGATCCCTTCATGATGCTCCAGTACGAATCCATGGACAGCCTCTTCGCCGGAGACGCCGTCATCCAGGATGCCCGCGGTGTGGACGGCGGCATGGACGGCGTCAGCCTCTGGAGCTTCGAGGAGTTCCCCATGGACAGCGCCATTTTCTGACGTTTTCCGTGCGATGCGCTCGATCGGTTGTAAGAATCTGCATCTGGCATCTAAGTAGTTCCTTGTTCAGAACCTTGCTGAGACCAGATTATGTTTCTTGGCCAGGAACGAAGGAAAGGGTGCTGCCGATGCATGGCTACCGCATGATTGCTTCCTTGATGAACGCAGATTCGAAATGTATTCCACTGTTTGAGGCTGCTCGTCGGACTGTATGTGCATATGTACTGCTGGCCGCCTGTACTCTTTCATGATTTGTGCTAGTCTTTGGTGCTGTTGGTCAATAGTCCTACCAATTGATCATGTCGGTAGTGCCGTCTATGACTGTGCTTGAGATTGTTAAATGCCGAATAAGCTTGTGAGCCTGGTTATCTGTTGTGTGTGAGTCACCAACTCATCATGTCATGTTGAGTTGGATTATGTAAGAACACTTCTGCTTCGGTACACCCTCCCCCTCACCCCCCAAACATGTGAACGGCCCAGATTAATCGATACATCTTCATAAGTAAGGGCACGATGGTCATATATTAGAAATCATTCATCTGCTGTATACGATGTATAGTGAGCTGGGCCGGCCCATCTTTCCCTTCTTTTTTTTCCGATTTTAAATCGCGAAAAAATATGAGGCTGAGAGGAATCGAACCAGGTTCTACCTTGTACAAAATTCGACGTGATAACCAACCGGCGACTTGAGCACTTGTGTTTAGGTAGTTCTGTCTTGTCCTTTTCTTCCTTGCTCTTTCCTGTTTCTGATTTCCTTTTTTTCTTAGTTTTTCAAACATTTTTTTCGGTTTTCATTTCCCTTTTTTCCTTTTTAGTTTTATTTTCCTTTTTGTTTTACTTTTTCTTTTGAATGTGCAAACTTTTTCAGTTTCCTTTAAAAAAATCAATGAACCTTTTTTTTAATATTGATGAATCTTTCTTGAGATGAATGATTTCTTTTTTAGAGTAGATGATTTTTAAGATGCATGATTTCTTTTTCCGAGCATGATTCAAGATGACTCTTTATTCATTTCCTGCAAAAGTTGAGTAGAGATTTCTTTTTTTCTAAATTGATGAATCTTTATTCAAGATGAATGATTTCTCAAGATGAATAAAGTTTTTTTTCTAAATTGATGAATCCTTCTAGCAACCGAATACCCTTCATTGAACATGGTCTAGTTTTGGATATTCTTGAAATGACCCCAACTTTTGCAGGAAGGTGGGCATTGCCCATGGTAGGCACCAGTGATAGGTTTGAATGATTTCTGACACCGCATGCAACTTGCGACACGCCCGATCATTTATCGGTCTTTTTTCATCGGAAAAACTCCAGAAAATGCAGAACTTGTTGAAAATCCAAACAACTTGGCATGGTGTCTTGAATTGGTCATACAAGGCCATGAAAAAATTAGGTCCATTTCAAGGATGTGAAGAAAACAACATGCTCTCAAAGAGAGCCTTCTGGCAACCGAACACCCTTTATTGAACATGGTCTAGTTTCGGACATTCTTGAAATAACCACAACTTTTTTAAGTAGGTGAGCATGTCCATGGTAGACATCCATGTCAAGTTTGAATGATTTATGACATCGTATACAAGTCGCGACACATCCGACCATTTATCGACCTTTTTTGGCTGAGAAAACTCCAGAAAACGCAAAATTCATCAAAAAAACAAAAAAAAAAGTTGGCATGGTGCATTTAGTTGGCCGTACAAGGTCATATAAAAAATTGGGGCAATTTCATGGATGTCGAAACACAACGTGCTCTCAGGCGGAGCTTTCTGACCTACCTGAATACACTCATTTGAACATGGTCTATTTTTAGATATCCTTCAAATGACCATAACTTTTCCAAGAAGTTGAGCATGCACATGGTAGGCATCTATGTCAAGTTTGAACTATTTTCGACAGTGTATGCAAGTTGCCACATGTCCGAGCATTTATTTTCTTTTTTTTTACCGAGAAAACTCTAGAAAATGCAAAAATTATTGAAAACCAAAACAACTTGCCATGGTGTCTTGAATTGGCCATACAAGGCCATGGGAATAATTGGGGCCATTTAATGGATGTCTATTTTTGGATACGCTTGCAATAACCCAACTTTTGCAAGCAGGTGGGCCTACCCATGGTAGTAATCCATGCCAAGTTTGAACGATTTTCGACACCGTATGCAAGTTGCGACACGTTCGGCAATTTATCACCCTTTTTTGACAAAGAAAGCTTCAGAAAATGTAAAATTTGTAGAAAACCAAAAAACCTTGGCATGGTGCCCTGAATTGTTGCCAGTGAAAAAAATTAGGTCATTGGACGGATGTCGAGAAAAAACATGCTCCCAAACGGAGCCTTCTGACCTACCCCGACACCCTACGTTGAACATGGTGATTTTTCTACACGAATACAAAAAAATCGAGCAAATTGAAAAAAAATGTTACAAATTTTTATTCGTAGTTTTCTTGAAATTCCAAATTTAATAGTGACTTTCCTAAAATGTTAAAAGAAAAATGTTCGGGTTCAAAATTTTGTTAGCTCTTTGTAAAAATGTTTGTGTTTTGACATTATGAGCAATTTGAAAATACAAAAATATTCCAAGGAATTCATAAAATGTTCGCATTTTTGAAATAATTGTTCATAGTTTCAGAAAATGTCCATGTTTTCAGTTTTGTTCCTCTTACAAGAAAATGTTCGTATTTTAAAAAAGAAATTGTAGTTTCAAGAAATGTTCTCACTTTCAATTGTGCTCTTATTTTTCTAAAACAAAGTTTGAGGGTCTGAAACGTTGTTCACAAAAGGTTTGTGTTTAAAAAAATATGTTCACAGATTTTGAAAATGTTTGGGTTTAAAAAAGATTACTTTGTGAAACAGAAATTCACATACGAAATTTCAAAAAAATAGATCGTTTTGGACTAGTGATGTTATGCACTCGCAGGAGCTTGTGTGTTAGATCCGTGCACCCATTTATGTATTTGTGAATTGGTGTTAAAGTGTTGCCGCTTTCACTAATTCTTTAGGTCTTTAGGCGTGGCAGTCTGTAGCACTTGAGTTAGGCAGCCGAAGTGGCTAGTAGCGGTTGGAATTGTATGGTTGGTCGTGAGTTCGATACCCATATAGGGCGTAATTTTTGTTGATTTTCCAGCGCAAATGGGCCGGCCCAGGTTAGCTGTGCCTGTGCCGTATTCCAGCGTAGAGGAGGTCTTCCTACGTACAAAACTGGATACGATTTGTCAAAAGTCTAAATTACCCTTTATACGCTTTGTGAGGGGGGTGTACCAAAGCATTCCTCATGTAAGAAATACCGTAATTTGCTGAATTCGGCGAAGCTGCATAATTCTGGATCTATTTGCTACATTGGGCAGTTGATCTTTACCTAATATAATGATTTCAACCTTTTGTGATGGTCGGTTCGCCTTCGGACTCGATCTTCTTCTCTGAGTCGCCCCGATTTTCATTTTTCATGGAAACTGATAACACACTGTCTCAGGTTCAAAACAGGTTCAGTTTACATCAAAGGGGAGCCATGTTGCCCTCTAATAACATGAAATTCTCCACGGCCCATGCTGAAACAAACATAAAACTAGAGAAGTTAAACCTCTATCATCCACTACTGAACTAACAGCCACCCTTTCGCCTTAGAAACGAAAAGGTTCATCATCAGAAGAGATAGTCTTCACTTCTTATCTTGTGTATTTGTGTCACCTACTCATCCTGTCATTTTGAATTGGATTATGCATTAAGATGGCAATTTGCTGAATTCAGTTAAGTTGTACAATTCTGGAAGTGTTCGCTACATTGTGTGCTTGATCCTTTCCTACTATAAATATGTCAATGTGTGGCGGTGATATCATAAATCCTGGATTCTAGCACAAATGTCAGAATGGTAGTAATTTATTAACAGGTAAATATATTTACTTAATTTTAGCCCGTAGCAATGCACGGACTTCGCGCTAGTATGTCTAAATGTTGCAGAAAAATTAAATAGTTTCAAGGGACTATGTCTGATACGCCAAATTATCACACATGTAAGTTCAGAAAGCGCTTGTCGTGCCACATCTTGCAAATAATTTTGTATCCTTCAGCCATGATTTTCCCGGGTGGTTTCCCAACTGATGTGAAAACCGCCTCACAATCCAGTGGGAACCTACGGGCTGCCGGCGGTTTTCATGAACTGCTGAATTGTACTCCTGCTCCCTATTTTAGACTGCAATGTGCACATCTTGCTATTATAATTCTTGTCGCGACACGGGCATGACAGCAATTCGCTACAATCTTATTTCATTTAAGTTGCAGGGTTCTCAAGCAAAGATAGACTCATAGGTGGATGGGCACGCTAAGGCAAATAATATGCAGAGTAAAATACCATGCAAGTTGCTACGGTTTTCATACTTTGGCATTGCTTTATCTGCAAGTTGAGTTCCATGCCAATACAATTCAGACCCCATACATGGTACCTAATCCTACCCTTCAGAAAACTACTACCCACGCCGATTCCGGTGAGCGAATAATTTGCGGTATGATGCCCCTGTTTTAGGGTTCATGATTCTTCATAAATAGATTGGACATGCCATATATAGTTTTTATTAAAAAAGAGTTTCCCGGGTTCAAATATTCAGATAATGACGGGTACTTGCACCTGTCTTCCACTATCTAGACACTGGAAAATATCATAAGGAATATCCTCTATCAGAATCTCCAGCCCTACTGGTGACTACTCCCTCCGTCCCGAAATGTAAGACGTTTTTTGATACTATGATAGTGTCAAAAAGCTTACATTTTGGGACGGAGGGAGTATTATTTTTCGTTTTGTTCTACATGTCCTCACAGGCTTTTCTGGCACAGAAATTGCAGGATTACTACAAGAAAGCAAATTTTCTAAATTTCTCCTCTATCACCTCTTATTTTCCTTGAAGCAGCACTGTACTACTGTAACGCTCAGACCGCGCGGATAGCTCTAAATTTATCTATAGCCATGGATTGTTGTTAGAGAATTTATTTTTTTCTATCAACTTTCATGCTACTAAAGTAA